ACGCAGGACTGAGCAACGTATTGTTGCCATGAGTCGGAGTCAACTCGACAACTAACAACAACAAGTTGCTATTTGGGGCATCCAGGTAAACCATTCTGGCCTGCATTCAAATTCTGGACTGCCCCTTATAAGCTGGATGACCTTGTATGTGTTTCTCAACCTCAGTTTGACCTCCATCATTGCAGCCTAGAGAATTCTTGATACCTGATCCATCAGGGTCTTGGCAGAAAACAGATGGCCCACTCAAAGGGGTGACTGCAGTGAGCTAAATGGAGGTGCAGGTGGAGTTAGGAAATCCACAAGGGACTGTCAGCATCCAGAGATACACAGCTAGGGAAACCATGTCCACACTTAAGCCTGAAGGGTCCAGGACAGGCGTTGTTGCTACAAGAACCAGCAATAGCCATAGCCTTGCGGAGAAGAAGGGGGTGCTTGACGCGAGCTGTGTCCATAGGCAAAGAGCACACCCATTGCCAAACCACAGCCAGCAAGGAGGGTGGGGGAGAAACAAGGCCCTCTCCTCGCTCACCTCCCACTAGCAGATCTCCACTGGTGCCTCCCATTGGCCAAACCCAACTGACAGCCAGAGGGCCAGGGAGCCTCCCAGAACACAGAGCAGGGCAGAGGGCAGATCTGGGGACAGAGGGAGGCCGCTTTCACAGTGGCACTGTGGTAGACGGGGCAGCGCCTTCACAATCGTCCACGTCCCCATCCCCAGAACCTGTGGATATGTTATCTTACACGGCCAAAGGGATTTTGCAGGTTCAATCAATTTAAGGATCTTGACAAGATGGGGAGATTACCCTGGATTATTCAGATAGGCCTAATGTAATCACAAGGGTCCTTATAAGAGGGAGGCAGGAGAATCACAAACACACAGAAGACTATGGGACAATGGAAGTAGTGGGACAAAGAGATCTGAAGCTGCTGCAGTGTTGGCTTTGAAGATGGAGGAAGGGCCGCGAGCTAAGGAATGTAAGAGGCCTCTAGAAGCTGGAAAAGGCAAGGAAACCGATTCTCCCCTAAAGCCTCCAGAAGGAACGCAGCCCCGCCGACCCATTTTAGGACTTCTGACCTCTCAAACTATCAGAGAATAAATTTGTGTAGTTTAGATCACTAGGTTTGTGGCAATTTGTTACAGTAGCCCTAAGAAATTAATACACCGCTGCTATACCCAAGGGGCTCCCTCTGGCCCCCAGCCCCCTTACTGCCCTCCCAAATCACCCCTGGTCTCAGAGTGCCCTCCAACTCAGTTAGGACAGAGGTCAGAAGGGGAGCTCACACCTGGAAGAAAATGCCTCCATTAACCAGCAATGATTCTTGGAGTAAGCCAGCCAGCAGGGGCGCAAAACCACATAGGCACCTCTCAGGTTACCCCTTAGCTGCTCCCCAAAAAAGGTTACTGGCACGCTCCAGGTTCATATGAGCTTCACACTTTTCTCCATCCTTTTTTATTTTTTTATTTTGTTTTATTTAATACATCATGTCCATGTATGGAATATCTAGTGAGGGAAGCAGCGTAATGTAGTATAAAGAACCCAGCCCAGAAGTCTAGCGACCTGGATACGAATCCTGTGGGTAGAGAAAGACGTTTCTCGTCACTGAGCCTCATTGTCCTCATCTGTACAAAGAGAGAGGACTGAGTTGTCTGCAGGCAGTCTGATTCCAGGGCTCTAAGTACCCTCCTTCCTTGTTGCCAGCCTGCCTGACCCTTGACGCTGTAGGAGGAAGGGGTGATCAGGGTTCATGCACAACGCCACAGCCCGTGCCCAAAGCTGTTCTCTGGGGGATCTGGCAGAAGCCCCAGCTCCAGGCCCAGGGACCACAATCAGCTTATTCTCTGCTGCCCCCTGCTGGCCACTAGAAAACAGGCTTCCAACTAGATCCCTCAGAAATGGCTGAAAAGGACCCTCAACGGATGCCCCCTGCAGCCCCCAACACCAGAGCCCCCTGCATCCGCCTGCCCACCAGACCTGGCCACCCAGGACCTCCCCTGAAGCTGGCTGCAAGTCCCAGAAGGAAGCCAGTGCAGAGACGAAAGCCCTGAACAGAGAGGCTGTTGGCCGTTGGACTCTGGGGCAGGCTCTCTGTCTCTGCACTTCCCGCTTTCTCTCTCTCTCTCTCTTTCTGTCTCTCTCTCACACACACACACAAACACACTCACATGAACTCACAAAAAAGAGACACATAAATAGGTAGGAAGTGTGCCTGACAAGACAGAAAGTACCTGGGATATCTACCGAGAAGACGCCGAGAGAGCTGCCTGCAGAAAAAAAAGAGACACTGCAACACCATTATTCTTTGTGTCCACCATAAAAAAGACAGGCAGTCAGAAACGCTGGGAGCAGGTGCGGCTGGGGAAAGCAGTACAAGAGAGTCGAGGACCAAAATGCAGTTTGATATTAAGCAACTGACTTGCGTGTAAGAAGAAATCATTTTGCCTTTGTAACAGAAAGGTCCTTAATGACTGCCCCAGCTTGAGGGGGAGAGGGGGGCCTCCAGTCGTCTCAGTTCAACATCCCCTCAAGTACCGATGTCTGGGGACCCCCCACCACCACTCCATAGGGGTCCTGGTTCCTGCCCTTCTTTTTTCTTGGGCTTACAAACATTCTGGGGCATCAGGAGCGGATGTCACACAGGATGAGGCCCAGGGGACTGAGCAAGGCCTAGGGACACGTTGGGGCATCAGTCCTCCCAGGGGCTCAGCAGTCGTGAGATTACAGATGGGCTGAGATCCCCACCATCCCCAGGAAAGGGGGCAGCTGGTGGGAATGCTGCATACAGAAGACAGACAGGACAAGGCAGGCTGGGGCGTCTGTGGCATAGTCCCTGACCTCCAAATGATGCCCTTTGTGGCCTCTTCATCAGCTTCTGAGCCACGCGTGAGCCTCTGGCTGCACAGGCTCACCTTCCAGGCCTCTCTCCCCAGGCAGTGCTGCCAGGGGGCAGGTGAGGTCCTTTCTGCTCTCCTCTCCATCCTTCTTCCTGGCTCCAGGGTCTCCAGCTCAAGGGACTCTCTCTGGCCTCAGTCACTACCCCCTTCCTGCTTCTGCAAGTCATAATGTCTTGTTCTGTAGTCTCCTTCCTTTGACTTCCTCCAAAACCCCCTCCTCCCTTCTGGGGCTTTCACAACATACCTGCATTGCCCATTAGACACTGATTCTGAATCAACCCAAAAGCAACCCTCCTTGCCACCAATGAAGGTCCTTAGGTGGTACAAATGGTTTCAGTTGAATCCATCAGGTGATACTGTATAAGAAAGGCCTGGCAATCTGTTGCTCTTAAGATTACAATCAAGAAAAGCCTATGGAGTAGTTCTACTCCGTAGTACATGGGGTTTCCATGAGTCAAAATGGACTCAACGACAATGTGTTTTTGGTTCCTCCAACACACACACACACACACACACACACACACACACACACACTCGCTCTCACATGGTTTCCGACTCATGGCGATTTCATGCATGTCAGAGTACAATTGTGCTCCACAGGGTTTTCAATGGTTGATTTTTCAAAAGTAGATTGCCAGGCCTTTCCTCTGAGGCACATCTGGGTGGACTCGAACCGCCAACCTATTTGGTTAGCAGCTGAGCATGGTGATCATTTGCACCACCCAGGGACTCCTTCCTCCAAGGCAGAAAGGCTTAAACGTCAAACCTTCTAGCGCAGCAAAGGGATGAAAGAAGAGAAGAAAAAAATACAACACTCCCATAGTAAACTCTATGCCGCCACTCCTGATGCCAGGAATAGCTTCATTCTGGTGGCCCGGGGGTCATGAAATTGGACCGGCAGGAAAAGGAATGCAATCCCAGCAGCACGTGTCCTGCAAGGAGACACATTTCACCTGGCCATAATCAGGCAAATACTGTTTATTTCTTTTCAAACTTTACAGTCAACCTATGGACAAAGCACAGAAGACTTCACTCTGGTTACAGAGCAGAACACAGACGTGAACAACAGGGATGACGGAACAGATAAGACACAGGGGGCCTTTAGGTGGGAGGAGGAAGGTAAGAAGGAGAGTGGAGGAAAGGGAGGGAGGGATGGAGGGGAAACGAGATACCCACTAAAGTTAATGGATTCCATACAGAGATCTAGCTAGAGTATAAAGCTGCAAAACTAACCAGATGACGAGCGAAAATATAACTATCCAAAATTAGAAGGGAAAGAAAGGGGTGAGGAAGCACAGACGCACTAAATCCTCATTTTTCATTGATGGGAGTCAACCGACATGAGTAAACCAATATGGAGTCCTTGGGCGGTGCAAACGGTTAACACGCTTGGCTGCTAACTGAAAGGTTGGAGGTTCCGGTTTGCCCAGAGGCACCTTGGAAGAAAGGCCTGGCAATCTACTTCCGGAAAATCAGCCATGGTGCACAACTCTGCTCTGACACACATGGGGTCGCCACGAGTCAGAGTCGACTCTGTAGCTACTGGTTACTGGTTAAAAATGAGGCATGGAGAAATAGTGATTCAAACATGCTATTTGGAGATAAAGAAAACTATCACAAGAATTAAAAACCGAGTCAATTAAATCGCCTACCTTAATTACTTAACGGGTACAGCGCTTCTGCTTGGGGTGATGACAGGTTTTGTAAGTAGGTGGTGATGAAGGTTGCCCAACATTGTGAATGTAATTAGTGCAATTGATGGTACATTCAAAGATAGTTAAAAATGGCAAACTTTATGTTATATGTATTTTACCACAATAAAACTTTAAAAACAACACCTGCTTCTGGGCTAAAGAATGGGACTGAAGGGGCAACCTGGCTTTTAGTTATAAGCTTGCCTGCGCCATTTGATATTTTACCACGGGCATGCATGACTTTGATTTTAAATAAACTTTAAAAAGTGACACCAAAATCCTGGTCAATGCAGCCAGAAATGACCACGTCATCTGCTCGCTACCCAATGCAACCGGTCACTGAGTCGGGGCCCTGGGTGGGAGGCACGAAGCCCAAGGCCTCGCAGGCCAGCTGCTGCCAGGCGGAGAGGGCGAGCCCGGGGGCCTGGCGGTAGCTCCCCGGCCCCAGGCCCGCCCTAGCGCAGCATGTTCCGACAGCGCAGCCGCTCCTCCTCACGCTTCTCCTCCATGCGGTTCTCCAGCACCTGCAGCTCCCTGCGCACGGCCTTCTGCATGGACGGCTCCAGCTCCAGCACTTTCTGGAGGTCCGCCTTGGCCTCCGCCTCATTCCACACCTCCGCGTGCGCCCGCGCCCGCACATAGTAGGCCTTCACCATGCCTGTGGGAAGAATGGGGCGGGACCCACCTGCTCAGCCCCACGGTCAGCCCCACCTGACTGGGACTTAGCAGCTTACCAGACACTTAATCCTGGCAATGATGGGGCAGGCAGAGGTTCCTCAACCTGTCTGTACCTCAGTTTCCTCAGCTGGAAAATGGGATGATAATAGTAATAGTAACTATTTGCCTCTCTTGCATGGACCCTTACGAGGTTCTTAACTAGTCTACATACATAATTTTGTATTCTTTTTCACTGTAGAGGCTCCCCAAATTATATAACCTTCAGGCTCTACCCTTATACCTACTCCATTCACTCAGTATGAGGATTAAATGCGCTAACAAACACAGAGGACGAAATGGCTGGCTCATAGTAAGCCCTCTATACGCATTAGATGTTGCTGCTGTTGCTAATGTTATTCAAGTGCCATCTTCACAAACCTTGTCATATCTGCCACCACCTGTACTCGTATTTATTTAATATTGTTCTCTATTGATTTTCCCCTTTTTTTAAAGGCCTGTTGATGGCTCCACAAAATTAAAAGTTTGGTAATATGTATCTGTCCTAATACACGTGAAAATAAAATACCTCCTAAAATGACCCCAGCTTATCATTCACCTGTGATGCGGGCGCGCGTTTGGGGAAACTCCGCTGGGAGGAGAAAAGGTATGGTGCCTTGAAAGGGTCAGAGGACAAGTGTACGAAGGTCTTTGCAGGGGACTGCGTGGCTCTGGCCAGACACCCACCCTACCCCAGCTCCCGCCCCCACCTGGGTGGTGTCGCAGGATGTCGCTGGTGTGCTCCAGCACCTCGTAGTACTCCTCCTTCTTCAGCAGGCACTGGCAGTAGTTGAGGATCAGGGTGTTGATCATCTTTTCCAGCTTCAGCCACTGCACCTCCCAGGGCTTCTCCTGCCCAGTGGAGAAAGGGCGGCGGTGAGCTGGGGCCACCACCTGCCTCGCACCCCACCCCCACCCCCACCACAGCTGCAGGGCTGCTCCTCCCACTGCAGGCAGCAGCTGCCTGACCCCCCACCCCACCGTGGCCTGTGCGAGGCTGCTCCCCCACCGGCAGCCTCCCGGCCCCGACCTTGGTCTGCAGGTTCCGCAGGCAGACGATGGCTTCCTGGTACTTGGTGGAAGCTTCCTCGAAGCGGCCCAGCTTGAAGAGCCGGTTGCCTTCTCCGTGCAGGATGGGCACCGCCTGCATCTTCTCCACGTTGCTCAGGTTCCAGGTCTCCCTCTGGTACTCACTCGGGGCCTCCACCTGGCCAAGGAGCTGCAGGTCAGCAAGGTAGGGACCTGGGGGCCTGTATCCCCGCAGGGACCGAGAAAGTGAACCCCAGCACTCTGGCTGAAATGAACGCTCCATTCGCCACAGTGAGTTTGGGACAGAATTCGTGCTTGTGAGTCGGATACATATAAACAAAGGGAGGAAGAAATATGGCCTCAGGGCCCCACCCTAAACTAGTGTCTTTGCAAATTAGGGAAGAGCAACTCTTCTTCAAGACTCTTGACTTTCAAAATTCAGAAAACTGTCATGAATACTCATTTTGTTAGAACAAGATACTTTATTGCCATCTGCTGGAAATTTGTCATTATAAAAATCCAAATGTACGATGTCTATAATGTGAACAGGTGAATCCACCGCTCATCTATCAGCTTGTCATACTGTGGTGGCTTGTATGCTGCTGTGATGCTGGAAGCTATTCCACCTGTATGTCAAATACCAGCAGGGTCACCCATGGTGGACAGGGTTCAGCGGAGCTTCCAGACTAAGAAAGACTAGGAAGAAGGACCTGGAGATCTACTTCTAAAAAAACTGGCCAATGAAAACCTTATAAATAGAAGCAGAACACTGTCTGATATAGTGCCAGAAGATGAGCCCCTCAGGTTAGAAGTCACTCAAAATATGACGGGGAAGAGCTGCCTCCTCGTAGCAGAGTGAACCTTAATAACATGGCTGGAGTAAAGCTTTCAAAACTTTCCTTGCTGATGTAGCATGACTCAAAATGAGAAGAAACAGCTGCAAACATCCATTAGTAACTGGAATGTGGAATGTATGAAGTATGTATCTAGGAAAATTGAAAGTTGTCAAAAAAGAAATGAATCACTTGAAGATCGATATCCTAGGCATTAGTGAGCTGAAATGGACTGACATTGGCCATTTTAATCAGACAATCATATGGTCTACTATGCCCGGTGTCTTAGGCTGGGTTCTCTAGAGAAGCAAAACCAACGAAGCATATATATACATAGAGAGAGAAAGAGAGAGATTTATCTCAAGGAAATGGCTCATGCAGTTGTAGAGGCCGACAAGTCCCAAGTCCATAGGTCAGGCATCAGGCTGAAGGCTTCTCCTGACTCATGGAGCTACAGGGGCTGATAAACTAAAGATCAGCAGGCAATATGGCAGGCTGCTGGCTCAAGTCCCAAGAACCAGAGGTCAGACGACGAAGAGCCAGATGCAGGATCCAGAGAGAGTAAAAGTCAGCCAGCTTTGCCAGAGGGTCCATATATATATTGGATGCAGGCCACATCCCTAAGGAAACTCACCTTACAACTGATTGGCTGATCACATCAGATCACATCAGAGAGGTGATTACATTACATCACAAAATGGAGGATGACTACATCATTACATAACTGCCAAATTACATCATTACATAACTGCCAAACAACTGAGAATCAAGGCCCAGAAGCTGACACACAACCTTAACCATCACACCAGGAATGACAAATTGAAGAGGAATGATGTCACATTCATTGTCAAAAAGAACATTGCAAGATCTACCCTGAGGTACAATGCTGTCAGTAACAGGATAATATCCATACATCTACAAGGAAGACCAGTTAACATGACTATTATTCAAATTTACACACTAATGCCAAAGATAAAGAAACTGAAGATTTTTACCAACTTCTGCAGTCTGAACCTGATCAAACATAAACTCAAGATGCATTGCTAATTACTGGTGATTGGAATTCAAAAGCTGGAACAAAGAAGGATCAGTAGTTGGAAAATATGGCCTTGGTGATAGAAACAACGTCAGAGGTCACACGGTAGAATTTTGCAAAAACAACGACCTATTCATTGGAGATACCTTTGTTCAACAACATAAACAGCAACTATACACGTGGACCTCACTACATAGAATACACAGGCGTTAAATTGACTACATCTGTGGAAAGAGACAATGGAAAAGCTCAGTATCATCAGTCAGAATAAGGCCAGGGGCTGACTGAGGAACAGGCCATCAATTGCTCACATGCAAGTTCCAGCTGAAGTTGAAGAAAATTAAAATAAGTCGAAAGCCAAAGTACAAATTTGAGTATATACTACCTGAATATAGAGATCATCTCAAGAATAGATTTGACACATTGAACACTAATGACCGAAGACCCAACAAGTTGTGGGATGACATCAAGGACACCATACATGAAGAAAGCAAAACGACATTAAAAAAAAAAACAGAAAAGAAAGAAAAGATCAAAATGGATGTCAGAGGAGACTCTGAAACTTGCCCTGGAATGTCAAGTAGCAAAAGTGAATGGAAGGAATGATCACATAAAAGAGCCAAACAGAAGACTTGAAAGGGCAGCTCCAGGAGACAGAGTTAAGCATTACAATGACATTTGCAAAGACCTGGAGTTAGAAAACCAAAAAGGAAGAACATGCTTGGCATTTCTCAAGCTGAAAGAACTGAAGAAAAAAATCAAGCCTTGAATTGCAATATTGAAGGATTCTCTGGACAAAATATTGAACAACGCAGGAAACACCAAAAGAAGAAGGAAAGAATACACAGAGTGACTGTACCAAAAAGACCTGGTTGACTTTCAACCATTTCAGGAGGTGCCACATGAGCAAGAACTGATAGTACTGAAGGAAGAAGTCCAAGCCACACTGAAGGTATTTGTGAAAAACAAGGTTCCAGGAATTGACAGAATACCAATTGAGATGTTTCAACAAACAGATGCAGGGCTGGAAGCACTCACTCATCTATGCCAAGAAACTTGGAAGACAGCTACCTGGCCAGCTGACGAGAAGAGATCCATATTTGCGCCCATTCCAAAGAAAGGTGATCCAACAGAATGTGGAAATTATTGAACAATATTATTAATATCATACACAAGTAAAATTTTGTTGAAGATCATTCAAAAATGGTTTTCAGCAATACATCCATAGGGAACTGCCAGGAATTCAAGCCGGATTCAGAAGAGGACGTGGAACAAGCAATAACATTGCTGATGTCACATGGCTCTTGGCTGAAAGCAGAGAATACCAGAAAGATGTTTACCTGTGTTTTATTGACTATGCAAAGGCATTCGACTGTGTGGATCATAACAAATTATGGATAACATTGTGAAGAACGGGAATTCAAGAACACTGAATTGCGCTTATGAGGAACCTGTACATAGATCAAGAGGCAGTCTTTCCAGCAGAACAAGGGCATACTGCACAGTTTAAAATCAGAAATGGTGTGCATCAGGGTTGTATCTTTTCACCATACCTATTCAATCTGTATACTGAGCATATAATCTGAGAAGTTGAAGTATATGAAGAATGTGGCATTAGGGTTGGAGGAAGACTCATTAACAACCTGCGATATGCAGATGACACAACCTTACTTGCTCAAAGAGAAGAGGATTTGAAATACTTACTGATGAAGAGCAAAGACTACAGCCTTCAGTATGGATTACACCTCAACATACAGAAAACAAAAATCCTCACAACTGGACCAATAAGCAACGCCATGATCAACGGAGAAAAGATTGAAGTTGTCAAGTATTTCATTTTACTTGGATCCACAATCAACGCCCATGGAAGCAGCAGTCAAGAAATCAAACAACGTATTGCATTGGGCAAATCTGCTGCAAGACTTCTTTAAAGTGTGAATAAGCAAAGACGTCACTTTGAGGACTAAAGTGCGCCTGACCCAAGCCATGGTATTTTCAATTGCTTCCTATGCATGGGAAAGCTGGACAAAGGATAAGGAAGAATGAAGAAGAGTTGATGCATTTGAACTGTGGTGTTGTCAAAGAACACTGACCACACCATGGGCTGCCAGAAGAATGAACACATCTGTCTTGGAAGAAGTACAGCCAGAATGCTCCTTAGAAGTGAGGATGGAGAGACTTCGTCTCGTGTACTTTGGACATGTTATCAGGAGGGATCAGTCTCTGGAGAAGGACATCATGCTTGGTAAAGGAGAGGGACAGAGAAAAAGAGGAAGACCCTCAATGAGATGGATTGACACAGTGGCTGCAACAATGGGCTCAAACATAGCAACGATTGTGAGGATGGCAACAACAAATAACGTGTGAGCCCCCCCTTAGAGGTGACGCCCTTGCACAGTGCACAGACTGCACAACTGTTCATGCAGGACTTCGCAGGCCCTTTGTTGACACAGTTCTCTTATTCATTGCTATTCACCCGCGTAGCCTTCGGGTTGAGCCTCAGCCTTGGCTGTGAGCTGAGTCTTCATCTGGGCTTGACCCTGGCCCTAACCCTCTTCCCTTCTCCCCTCAGACATGTCCTATCAGTGTCTCAGTGGTCTGAGTAAGAAGGTGTAGGGGGTTCCATGCAGTCTCTCCCATTTCTGGAGAACCAGATCTGAACCCACAAACCACAGGGACCAGGGATAAGGCTATAATTCTAAACTTCTGAAAACAGAAACGGAAATAGATAGCCAATGGAAGTAAAACGCCTCCAAAATGAAAACAAATCCAATTTTTAAAAATTTGTCCCAAACAGAATTTTGCCTTTGAAAAGGCAGAGATATGTTGTCAAATTCCAATTCTCCTATGGTTTATGAACCCTTTCTTATTCTCTAAAGAGGAACTGGCTGATGTTTGGCAGTTGTTGGGGTCAGGGCTCCCCAAGGCGTTCACTATCCCTGGTCCCTCCCTGATGCTGGGACAGGGATGTCCTTCCCCTCCATGCCCCCACCCCACCCCAGGGCCTCACCTGCAGCAGCTCGATCACGAAGGTCAGTGGCTGCGGCTCCTTCTGCAGCTCGTCCAGGTCCTCGTAGCCCAGCGTGTGGTAGGCAAACATGTTCGCCAGCCCGCACGTGTGCACATGCCACTCCGTGGGATCCTTGCCCTCGGCCATCTGCCGCAGGCTCCGGGACAGGATGGGGTAGACACCCGTGTGCTGTGGGCAGAGACAGGGGTGGGCTGTCTGCTCAGAGCAAGGTAACAAAGGGCCCTCCCTGAGCCCTGCAGCAAGAATCCTGCTCCCCCACTACACCTGCCCTATGGCTGTGTCTGCCTATTGCCCCCACATACTCATACCCATAAAAACTGTGTGCTCAGCAAAGTACATCTGTTAAGGCCTTAAATCCTTACAACACCCAACAACGGAGGCACTACTATGATCCCCACTTCACGGATGAGGAAGCTGGAGTCCAGAGAGGTTAAGTAACTTGCTCAGGGTCACACAGCTGGGAAATAGCAGAGCCAGGATTCAAACCTGGCTCCAGAAGCCACACTCTCAACCACGATGCCTCTTGCTCTACCTCTTGTGGCCAACTACGACACATCCCCTAAGGAGACTAAACTTTACAAAGCCAATGACTCGCAGGGAGGGCTGTGTGGAACAGTGGAAGGAGAAGGACTCTGGGGTCTGAGAGGCCAGCTCAGCATGCTGACAGTGCCTCTGCTTAGCCATGAACCCCTGTCCCCTTAGTTGCACCTGCCTGGTAGTAGGGCTGCTATAAGGATTCAAGGAGATGGTGCAGACATAGGTCTAGCCCAGCACAGCCTCATCCGGCCACTGGGCACTGTGGTTGCCACCATCAAGGTGAAGGAGGACTGGGAATATCAGCTGTGTGGCCTCAGGCAAGGCCCGCACCCCATGGACCTCAGCTTCCCCATCTGTGAATTGGGAAGCCCCCAGGTCTCTGAGAGCCCTCTCCTTGGGCCTGGTTCCCCCAGCTGCCCCCTCAGACTCCCACACAGTAGTGGGAAAATGAAGGGCAGAAAGGGATTCAGAGTTGTCCCAAAGTCACCGGCGGGGAGAGGAAACGTAGCCCCCTCCTCGCTGCCACCACCCAGGATTAGCCGGAAATGCCCTTCTCTGTCTTTGAGGAAGAGATGGCCAGATGGCAGTTGAGCCCGGTTGGGATTAAAGTTGGAGTAAGGGAGGGATCAGCTTGTCTCCTGTCCCTGACACAGCAGCCCCGGCTATGCATCCCCCGCCCCTTCCACCCCGCCTCAGCAAGTCCACTGTGAGCTCTGGGATCAGGACACTGTGTGTGTTTACCCTTAGAGCCTCTGCCCCCCGCCACCCTGTGACAAAGGCCCTACCCACTGTCTAGGCCTGTCCCACCCTGGCATCAGCAAGGCCCCTTGTCAGCACAGAGTGGGCTGTGAGATTCCGCAAGGAGTGGGGAGGAATTCCAGGAAGGAGGACAAAGGCGGAGAAGGAACAGAGCTCCAAAGTCTCAAACCTGGCCCTCGGAGGGAGGGAGGAATGTGTGAATCTGGGCCTGCTCTGGAGGCCCAGCTTTTGGGCTGCAGGCTAAGGAGGGCAGCCACAGTCACCCAGGGGCCTCCGTGCAGCTGGCCTCTAGCCCTTCGAAACTGCTCAGCCCGGGGGTTCTGACTGGGGCCGAGGACCCCAGGATTGTGGCCTTCTGTGGGGCCTCAAGGCCAGAGCCTGGGCTGTCTAAGGGGCTAGATCTACACTGGAGGTTGCAAACCTGGGTGCTATAGGCCATATTCAACTCATACACTGTGGGTGTGTTTTTTGATGGTTCTTTTTTTATTAGTTGCCAACAGTTAAACATGGAGGGGGCTCACGTGCTCATGCAGGTTGCTGGCTTGTCTTAAAATTCAGAAGATCCAGCCAAACGGGGCCTGCCTCCTCGTGGCAACCATGAGTGGGAGCTCAGTAGCACGACCCTATCTGGATGGGGCAGCGGCTCTCCAGTTCACCAGGGTTCCTGGCCCCTTATGGACTCTGAGTTTGCAACTCCTGGCCTTGTAAGACTGGGCACCAGCAAAAATCCCACAGAGAGACCAGTTCTGGGGGACAGAGAGGAATGTACTTCAGGGAAGAAGCACCCGGAGCCCTAGAATGACTCTACCCTGCCCCCAGCTTAGGGGAAAGGGAGGGAGCAAGGAAGACCCCTACCCCTGCAGAGACCAAAACTTCAAGTTAATGCAGTGAGGACTGTCCAGGCAGAGGGCTCTGCAGGGAATGAGGAGCAGCAACGGCTGGGGAAAGCCAGGCCCTCCTAAGTCCTGCATCAAATAGAGATGATTTTCCCACTGATTGCTCAGTCTTTCAAAACTGAAGAGGCTAACTAAATGAAACATGCCAAGCCTTTTCACTTCCTGGGTTTTGCACATGCAATTTCCTCTGCCTGGATGTCAGTCCTCTCCCCTACTTCTTGGCCTGGTGAACTCCTATTCATCCTTCAAAACCCTGCTCAATGTCTTCTTCTTAAAGAAGTCCCCCCTAATGTCCTATAGCAATTAGCTGGTCCTCTTTTGTGGGCCCAAAGTACTTTGCCCTCACTTATTTATGTCATGGTACTGGCTGCCCTGCATTGTAATTGTTTACATGTCTGCTGCTCCTCCAGTGTTTAAGTTCCTCGAGGGTGGGGACTTTTGTTTAATTTCCAACACCCAGTTTAGGTCTAATCAGGTGCCCACTGATGTTTCCCAATCAAATGGATGGAGAGAGAGATGGATGGATGATGGGTGGGTGGGTGGATGGATGGATGGATGGATCAGTAGATAGATAGACAGATAGATAAATAAATGGATGCTTAGTAATAGATTAGGGTTACGAATGAATGTTGAGTAAAGGGAGGATGGATGGACAGGTAGATAGATAAAAAAGTGGACGTGTAGATGGATAAATCACTCTGGAAGGTGTGTGTATGTATGTGTGTGTGTCATGCAATCATGTGGGCTATGGGCTGTGGGCTGGGAAATGTGGGCGCTTTTGGAAAAACCAAATGCCCCCACAGTATAAAAGTTACCAGGCCGTGAGATGGGCCGTGAACCCGTGTGCATACTGATGTAGTCAAACGAACACAGAGACCACAAGGAACAAAGAGCCATGCCCACATTACAGGAGCAACAACAGCTTGTGGTTTTGCAAATGACAAATCAATCAACCAGTCAAGAATTTACTGACAGCCTTCTATGCACTCTGCTCTCCTGTGTTGGCAAATATGCATCCTATGGAGAGGGTGCTTGTTGGCAACCAAGCCTCGTCTAACATATGGCCTAAATTACAGGTACATATGGGTGTAAATCAGCCACTGAAAACCCTACAGAGCACAGTTCTGCTCTGACACACATGGGGTCGCAATGAGTCGGAATCAACAGCAATTTTTTTTTATAGGTGTAAAAAGTACAGGAGCTCCTGACTATCAGCAAAGTCGATGTATATATAATTTTAAACTAACTGAACTCACAAAGAAACCAATCTGCTGAAATCTTGACTTGATAAAAATAAAACATTTTTTTTAAAAAATTAAAACATCTGGATGAAGAATAACACAGAGACTAGAACAAAGAAAAAATGTTCAACTAATATTTGCTAAGTGAAAGAAGTGAATAACCATGTGTTGGATGGGATCACCTACTGGTAGAGCACAGTATTGCAGCCTGGCTCTACTACACATTGTAAAGGCAAAACATGTACTGGATAAGGAGAAAGGGGGCTGGAGATCCCACCCAGATCCTGCCCCTTAACTCAGTAGACTAGTGCAAGTTACTTTCCCTCTCTGAGCCGTAAGTTTTCTCAGTGGTAAAATGAGGGAGTTGGTCTCTAAGATTCTTCTAGCTCAAAATAAAAGCACCCACTTTCCAGTTGCCCTGCACTATGATTTGCCCTCATATACCTTATGTCATGTAATCCCCACAATAACCTCTTAACATAGAGTTTTACTGATTTACAGATGTAGAAATTGAGTGCCAGAGGGGAGAACAAACTTCTCCAGACTCACATAGCTAACAAATGACAGAGCAGAGTTCAGATTCAGATCTATCTCTCTCCCAAATTGCTCTCTCAAAAGGTCAGTGGCACCTGAGGAAATAATGTATCTGGGCATCCCCCATCAATGGCTGCTAAAACCACAAGGTATAAGTTGAGACAGAGCTTTATAATGGATGGGCCAGGCTGTCAACACCTAAACTCACCCATCAATCTTAATATCACAATAAGAAAGCCAGCAGACACAGGTGCCTCCCAGTGGAAAGAACGCAGCATCATCCATGACACATTTTTGCAAAGAACTGGAATCTTATCAAGCCTCTCTAAACCAAACTTCCAATTTGTAAGAAATAAGGGGAACAGAGGAACATATTAGACAATTCTATAACAAAGCAATCAGTAAAATCAGAATGAGAGAACTTCTGTAGGACAAATGACCCTGTTTCTTCAACAACACCATGTCGAGAAAAAAAAGGGGAGGAAGGGAGAATCCATAAACAAAAAGACACTTGAGAGTCATAGCAACAAAGTGCTATGCATGGACTGAACTTGAACAAACCAATGATAAAGAGTAAATTAAGAGACAATCAGAGAAATATGAACAATGACTGACTATTAGATGGCATGAAGGAATTATTTTGGGATTTTAAAAAGGTGCAATAAAGATATTGTGGTTATGTTTTTTAAAATATTTTTATATTTTAGTATCTACAGATGAAATGACATGTCTGGAATTTGCTTTAACCATGTGAGAAGTGAGAGAAGAAGTAGGTGACAGCTAGATGCAGCAGGACTGGCCATAGGTTGATGGTGGCTGGAGTTGGGTAATGAGTACTTGGAGGTTCATTATACTTTGTGTCTACTTTGGTATATGTTTGAAATTTTCCATAATAAAATGTTTAAAGGTTAGTGAGTTTTGCTATTTCTATCTGGGCCACAGAGCCAGGAGGCTCACCTATGAGAGTGATTTATAAGAGGGCCATAAATACAAAAAAATTTTTTTGCAGGGTTGGTAGGGATGAGGAGGAGAGTGGAAAAGTAACCAACAGCCAAAATCTCCAGGATCTGATGTTGTTGTTGCTGTTAACTGCTGTAGAGTTGGCCCCCAACTCATGGGGACCCCATGAACAAGAAAAAGAGAAACACTGCTTGGTCCTGTGCCATCCCCATGATCAGCCGGGATTGCACTGCTGTGATCCATAGGATTTGCACTCGCTGATTTTTGGAAGTAGATCCCCAAGCTTTTCCTCCTGGTCTGTCTTAGTCTGGAAGCTCTGCTGAAACCTGTTCAACATCACAGCAACATGCAAACCAAGACGGACGGGTGGGTGGAAGCTGCGAATGAGGTGCACTGGCCAGAAACTGAACGCGGGTCTCCCGTGTGGAAGGCAAGAAGTCTACCACTGGACCACCACGGCTCCCTCTAGGATCTAAGACCACTGTACAAAGAGGGAGGACTGTGAAGTGGGCGGGCCCACTCCTAAGGAACATGGCACTGCTCCCAAATCTCACCAGGGAGGACGGCACCGCTTGTCATTTCATGGGGCTGCGCTTTCTGACGCGCCCATCTTCACAGTTTCAACAGCTGGGATTGAGGACCTCGGGTTTGTCCTGCGGAGTTTTGTTTTACCCACAGCTTTCCTGAAACAGCAACCCTGCAAAGTGAGTGGGCCCCTAGAAGGCAGACCCGGGGAGGGGCTGACGCAGCCTACTTACAATGGTATCGCACCAGAACTCGGCCACCTCGCCGACCCGCATGGACGTCAGCAGGATCTCCCAGACCTCCAGCTTGAACATGTTCCCAATGATAATGTGCATGGGCTGGCCCACCTGCTTGCTGTCGTCTATCACCGTCCGCTCCTCGTCACATTTTGTGGTGCGGAAGTGAAAGGTCACCTGGTCACCAAGTGAAAGGTCACCTGTTCTAAACACATCTCCCAGGGTCCAGCAGGAGCCAGCCCCATGTCACAGGCCCCCAGGGCTGTCCTCAGGGTCAGCTCCCCCAGCCCCAGTCACATGCCTTGACCCCTAGACCATCCCCACCCTGCTTGCCCCCCACCCCCCAGACGAGGAGCCCACTCCCTCCTAAAGGACCCCACTGCCACCCTTGACAGTTCTGAACGTCAGGAACTCGTTCCTTAAACAAGTCCTAGTTCTGAGGCCACAGCCTCTGTCAGTCCAGGGAAGCCCACAGAGATTTGTGAACAAACTCCCTGACCCCTGAGGGGGCTTCCTTCTCTAGAAATTTCCCAGAGGCCCCTCCCCTCACCCCACACTAAGGTTTAATCTGAAAAGTACCAAGAATGGCCGCGAGTGGGCACCAACTCAGAGCTCCCCAGTTGCCCAGTGTGGGTCATTCCGGGAGGGGCCTGCCTGGCTGATTTTTGGCAAAACTGAGAGGCTGTTTGTGGCTCCATGCCGCATGACTGGGTCAGGCCTCTCGGTGGGGATGTGGGGGGTGGGGGGGTGTCTGGTCCGGGAGAGCCTGGCCCCGCCCCCTCAGAGGGGCCGGCGCGCTTACTCGGGATCCAGTGATGAAGTTTGGGAGGTCCCCTGTGCCCCCGTGCAGAATGGTCTTCTTTATCCCCTCCACGTTCAAGAGCAGTGCCGTGTCCATGGCTCCTGAGGCAGGGAGAAGTCCTCGTCCAGCCGCTAGCGGGGATAATTTCCCCCAGGGCTTCTCAGCCGGCTGAGACCGGTGGGGATTTGCCCTGTAGGTTGAGTGCTTGTAGGGGGGAGTGGGGGTAAGGTGGCGCCGGCTGCCCAAGCCGGCCAGAGCTGCTTCTCAGGGCAGCCTGGCCTTCTGTGCCCTCCCCGGTATGAAGGGAGGGGCCCCGCCTGACGCCTTCCGTGAGACTTTGTCCCACCCCAGGAAGCAAGGAGGTCAGCAGGGCTGTGTTGAAAGAGTGAAGGGAAAGGAGAGCCAGGGAGGAGAGAGACCCGGAGACCACTAAGGGGGAAACGAGGGGAGGGCTGCAGGCCCTCTGCCCTGCTTGGGCCTGGGAGCTGACCTTGAGCCCAGACTCTCAGTCCCTTTGGACCCCAGGCCAGGGCTCTGCTGTCTTTGCGGTCCCAGCCATCCCCCTTTCCTTCTTTCCTCCTCCTGCGTCCCCAAAACCTGCCCACAGGAGGCTGTGGAAGAGGGGTACGTTTCTGGCTTGGTTGGGTATTAAGACAGGGAACAAGAGGGGGCGGGCAGGATTGGGGAAAGTTGAGGAGCCCTCCCGAGCCCCACTCGTGCCTCCCCCACAAGGTCTGGCCGTGGGCAGTGGGGCAATCCCCTCCTCTTGGGGCAGGCCTTAATCCTGGGCCGTGGGACCTAGACCCAGATAATCTCGGGGCTTCAGGGACCGCCCCGCCCCCGCTCAGGTCTAAAGGTGAAGAGCAGTATGAAGACTTGGTGTTTGGCGCCACCTTGTGGCTGTCACATGTTCTTATGCTTCTGCTCCCCAGAGTCCTGAGGGTGATGGAGAATTACTGAACGCCACAAAAGCCATTCATTCTCTTTTTTTGTGGGAGATGAGACACAGATCCCTGCTGTGGGGGAGAGGCAAGAACATTAGACTAGAAGTCAGACAGATCTGAGTTCAAAGAGCTGACCCCACCTCTTATCACTGACCTGTAGCCTTGGGTGTCTCCCATCCTCTCTAACTCATTTTCCCGTTTGTGAGATGTGCAAATTGACCTCTCCTACCTATGAGTCGGAATCAACTTGACGGCAATGGGTTTGGTTTTTTGATTTACCTCCCTTTCTGGAAATTTGGGAGACCTCTCTGGGGCAGACAGTGAGACCCTAAAACCCAGCACCCCTAAAACTGTTGACATAGAGTCATTGACATAGAGGAGGCCAAGCCTGGGCCAACTAGTTTGGGTTCACTGGCCTGGACTGGGTCAGCCAAACCAGGCCCCCTCCAGGAAGCCCTCCAGGAGTTCTCAGACCCCTGTGGGCCCAGTCTCCATCCCTCTGTGGGAACTGGGGATAAGGGTGGAGGGTGTAGAGACCCTCCCCTGCGCTGTTCCACATAGCAACCTAAAGAGGTCTGTACGCACAGCAGGTAAAATGAATACACGGATGATTAAAGGACAAAGACCACTAAAAGTCAGGATGGGGCTACCTCCAGCAGAGAGGGGGAACACACAGCAGGCAGAAGGGAGCTGCTTCTGGGAGCCTGGAAAAGTTCTATTTCTTGACCTGGGTGATGGTTACATGGATGTTTGCTTTCCTGGTACTCATTATACTATACTTTTAGGAGCCCTGGTGGCACAGTGATTAAGCACTCGCTGCTAACCAGAAGGTTGGCGGTTTGAACCCACCAGCTACTCGGAAGGACAAAGATGTGGCAGTCTGCTTACGTAAAGATTACAGCTTTGGAAACCCTATGGGGCAGTTCTACTCTGCCCTGTAGAGTCGCTGTGAGCTGGAATCAACTCAACGGCAGTGCAATTAGTTGTTGTTTTTGGTACTATACTTTATGCTTTATGTCTTTTTCTGTGAGTAATATAATTCACAATAGGAGAAAGGGGTCTAATCGTGTCTCCCGCTGCTTAAAACTCTCCCGCTGCTAATCAATTGCTTCCCATTATACACGTGCCGTCCAGTCAATTCTGATTCATAGTGACCTTATAGGACAGCAGAACTACCCCGTAGGGTTTTCTAGGCTGTAATCTTTCCGGGAGCAGACTGCCACATCTTTCTCCTGCGGAGCAGCTGGTGGGTTCGAACCGCCGACCACTGCACCACCAGGGCTCTCCTTCTCGTTATAGAAGGGGCAAAAGGCACATACAGGTTACAGAGATACTTAGGAGGTAAAACTGAGAGGGTTTGGCCCTTGGTGGCTGTGGGGGTGGGGGAGAGGGCTGTTGAAGCTGATGGGAAGAATGCGGGTCCACAGCCTCCAGGCTGACCCCGAGCAATCCCCTGGGCTCCTCCCGGATCTTGTTTAAATGCACCTCTAATAAATCACTCCTCTTTTAATTAAAATTTAGCAAAGGCTTTCCACTGCATTTGGGATAAATTCCAAATTCCTTCCCTGCTCTGTGGAGCCCCACAGACTCAACCCTTGCCTCTTGCTCCTCTGTCCTCCCCTCGTCCCTGTCCTCTCTATTTTGTTCAGCCAGGCTCAATTTCTCTGTGTCTTAGAACTTGGCGATGCTCCCCTTGCAATCCTCCTATCTGAAAACCTCGTCTCCCTTGGCTTGTTATTCCCCTAACGCCTCAGCTAACACACCACGTGGCCAGGGAAGCCTGCCTTGACACTCAGCTCAGGTGAGGTTCCCTACCCAC